ACGGGTCGAAAACCTCACGGGGGAGTTCGTCTAAACATGGTAAGATGATTTTTAAAAACTATTTAATATTTATTTTATTTGAATATTCCAAATTAATATTTAATTTTAAAAATTACTTTTAGGCTAAAGAGACAGAAGTTCTTCCATCTCTGAAAGACCTTTACGAGAGGACCCACCGGAACAAGGCTGGGCAGTTTGTAGATTCTGCTTCCGAGCGGATCTACAACGAGATTGTTGCCCGAGTTGACGAACGCCAGACCCAGCTGACTCAGCAGACTGGGACTCCAGTCATATTATCCACTCTTGAAGTGGATAAGATTTACAAGGAGGTAAATAATTTGTTTTACTATTAATTTTTATTATTTATTTTAATTTTTTTCTTAACGTTATTAATATTTTTATTTACAGGTCGCTCCTAGGAAAAAGGGGTGTGTCGTCGGGATTGGCTCGATTAACGATGTCCCTGCAGCGACATCGTCTTATCATCAGGAGCAGCATGATGTCAATGTTCAGCTACGCTCGCAGTTGGCTTCGCTCACCGAGCATGTGACTTCTCTCACCGATGTTCTCGACATTATGGCGGTTGGAAACCCATAATTGGAGGAGATGTTGCGTCAGAGACGGGAACGCGGAGGGATTCCAACCCAACATCATCCACCATCACAGTCACAGCCGACAACCAACTTTGGAGAGGAGCAGGATTTGGCGAGCTAGGAGGAGTTCGTTCGCCAATTTCACGACCAGCATCCGTAGTTTTTTTTTAATTTTTAATTGTATATTATGAATTTTAAAACTTAATTGTATATTATTTAGTTATTTATCAAATATTTTGTTTTTTATTTAAAAATACATTATTTATATTTATAATTAATTTTTTTTAATAGGGAATAAAATATTTCAAAGCAAAATTCTCGAAATGGTTTCCAAGTAATGTCCTTGTAATTAATTCTAGTAAGTTCTTCGTAACGTATTACTATGAGCTTACGAGGAAAAGCTTATAAGGAAATGATACGAGGACCTTACGAGGAAAAGCTAACCACGCCTTTACGAGGAAAAATTTCCTTGTAAATTTGCTAGGATCTTACGAGGAAAAAGACTTTACGATGAACGTGTTTCGACGAAACGCGTTTTCTCGTTGTTTCCTAGTAAATGACCATTTATTAGGAAATAACGAAGAAAACCCGTCCTAGTAATGGACGAGTTTTCTTGTAGTGAGTAGACAACCTACAAAAGAAAAAAACTTTACATATGTGTAATACCACTACATGCCACAACACCGACCATAACCTTCTCTAAAGTTTAATCGGATAAAACAAACCAAGTAGAACACAAGTAATTTAACTTTTAAAACAAAAACAAAAACTAGAAACAAGTAAACATGCTCATAAGAACTTGAAAACTATAAAAAAGCATAGAAAATAACAAACTGCCATCTAGGTTATCAGTCTTTTAATCAGCTGATAGAAATATGTAGTCAAAAGTTTAACAATTCATTTGATGCCCTAACATGTTTCCTTTTTTTATAGCCGTAAAAGAGTTATGAAGTTTATGTATCTATCTTAAGATCAAATTACGAGTTACCGACATTTTAGTTATTTATCATATTTATTATATAATCTATGCAGGAATTTTAACTTTACCTTAAATTACTTAAAGATATAATTTTTCCTTTGTTTATATTTTAAAGAGTGAATTGGGTAGAAATCCATAAGAAAATGAGAAATTAGGGATTTGCCATTTTTGGTGGGGAAAATAGTAATGTGGGGGAAGAGAGATAAAGGAAGAAATAGGGTATAGAGTGAATTATGAGGTTTAGTGTGTGTATGGAGTGCACATACTCTATTTTAAAAACAAATGAAAATAATTAGTTTTTGAAAACTAAAACTATAAAATTAAAGTTTAAAATAAAGAAAAAAGTGAAATTATAATGACACGTAACTAGAGTCCATAAACTACATACTTAAAAAAAATGTATATTCCAAAATGATGGTTAAAATCAAATAAACTTTTTATACCCAAAAAATGATAAAATACATTAAATGAGGAATAAAGAGTACTGTTCTCCAAGTGTACACAATACACGGTGGTCGTCTCTTCTGCTCATAAAAGGAAAAGTGGAGAAGAAGAAGAAGAGAACCAAACAACGTTTCTTCTCCGATTCCTTTTGTGGGTTTTCTTCTCCGATTGTAAAATTGAGATCTTTCTCCTTCCTCTGAAGCTACAACAGTAAGGTGGTTCCTTTAGCTCCAAAAAGCTCTCTCCTTTTGCTTCAACATGATTTGAGTTGTTCTTGTTGATTAATTTGATCTGTTCTTACTTTTAACTCTATGCATGATTGAATTCTCTCGAGGGTTCGATCAAAAGTGTCGATCTTTACTCCGTTTTGATGGTTCTTCGTTTTGTTAGTGTAATAGAGTGATTATGTTTGCTATGAAGAGTACTGATGTGAAGTATGTTATTGTTTTTTGTGTGTGTGTTTTGCAGAATCTGTGTAAGGAAGTTCTTTTTTGTATCTTATGACGGGGAAGAGATCTAAGATAACTTGCAGATCTGCTTCTCACAAGCTGTTCAAGGATAAGGCCAAGAACCGTGTTGATGATTTGCAAGGGATGCTTTTGGATCTTCAGTTTGCAAGGAAAGAGAGCAGGGGTGTTGATGTCTCACTCCTTGAGGAGCAAGTGAATCAGATGCTTCGTGAGTGGAAGTCTGAGCTCAACGAGCCTTCTCCTGCTTCCTCCCTGCAACAAGTATGGAATCTTCAATTCTTATATCACAGTTGCTTTTCATTTTTTTTTTTGTAAATTGTAACTTGCATGGTTTGGCTTTTGGTCTCTGTGAAAACTTGTTTTCATGCCTTTAATGTCTTCGTTAGTTTGAGTCATTGTTTGTTTTGCTTACAGGGTGGTACTCTGGGGTCTTTCTCAACAGACATTTGTCGGCTCCTGCAGCTTCGTGATGAGGAAGATGATGCAACCAGCAAACTAGCTCCACCCAAGCCCGAGCCTACTGATCAGAATCTCGAAGCTGCAAGGGTAAGTTTATCTTTTGATTGAATCTCTAAGACCAAAATTTACTGCTGCTTTAGTTGTTTATGTTAGTCCATTATTGTGTGAATTTTGACAGGGATTCAATTTGATTCCGGAGAAGTCAGAACATGGATTTCCATTGGCTGACCATTGCAAAGACCCTTCCCTTCTAGTTGGCAACAACAACTTCGATGGAACCGCTCATTTGGATTACAATCAGTATGATCTGCAGCAAGAGTTTGAACCAAACTTCAATGGTGGTTTCAATGATTGTCCCACTTATGGTCCTTTACATATCTCTGCTTTCATCCCAACAATTTGTCCTCCACCTTCTGCGTTCTTGGGTCCAAAATGTGCTCTTTGGGATTGCCCTAGGCCTGCTCAAGGGTTCGACTGGTTCCAGGATTACTGCAGCAGCTTCCACGCTGCTTTGGCTTTCAATGAAGGCCCACCAGGGATGAATCCCGTTGTGCGTCCTGGTGGCATTGGCTTGAAAGACGGTCTGCTTTTTGCAGCTCTCAGCGCGAAGGCTGGAGGGAAAGATGTTGGTATTCCCGAGTGTGAAGGAGCTGCAACTGCTAAATCTCCATGGAATGCTCCTGGTAAGCGAATTTAACACTCCATTCTTGAGCTGATTTGACTCAAACATTGTTTTTGTGGTGTGAATGTAGAGCTCTTTGATCTCACGGTTCTAGAGAGTGAGACACTTAGGGAGTGGCTGTTCTTCGACAAGCCAAGGAGGGCCTTTGAGAGCGGGAACAGAAAGCAAAGATCCTTACCGGATTACAACGGTCGCGGCTGGCACGAGTCACGCAAGCAAATCATGAGCGAGTTTGGAGGGCTGAAGAGGTCTTACTACATGGATCCACAGCCTCTGCACCATTTCGAATGGCATCTTTACGAGTACGAGATCAACAAGTGCGATGCTTGTGCCTTGTATAGGCTTGAGCTCAAGCTAGTTGATGGGAAAAAGAACTCAAAAGGGAAAGTATCAACAGACTCCGTGGCTGATCTTCAGAAACAGATGGGAAGACTCACAGCTGAGTTCCCTCAAGAAAACAACAACAAACGATGCATCAAAGGAAGGCCTAAAGTGAACACAAAGGTAGCAGCAGCTACCACTGGGAACGTTCAGAACACAGTAGTAGAGCAGGGCAATGATGACTATGGAGTAGGTGAAGAGTTTAACTATCTTGTCGGAAATCTAACCGACTACTATATTCCCTGAGAAGAAAGAAAGAAACAAAACACTGTTGCTTACTATTTAAACCAGGCAGCAGAAGAAGAAGCTTCTACATCTTGTAGGGCAAGTAATGGATTTTTCTTTTTTATTTATCTTATAACTATAATCATCTCTATATCCATGGAGATTACTATGTGTATATATAACAAGAAGGGGATGCAGAAGACTGTCATGGAGTTTGAGAGAGCTTGTTTCTTCTAACCACAAGTAAAGTTGAGAAAGGAGGAGACTGCTTTTTTAAATGATTCAGTTTACGGAGAGGTGACATTCCGGTTTATATGTATTTTGATGCATTTTCGAATGCAGATGACGAGTTATGTAACCGTTTTGGTTATCTTTTTATTGTGTTCTTATACAATCTGAATCTTGAAAACCTCTGTTGGATAATGTAACACCGTTCTTGCTCTTAGTAGTCTATCACGTCCTACTCGGAGTTGCTAGTTTTAACGGTAAAGCCCTATCCCTATGAGTAGAGGTGTTAGATTCGAGGTTCAGCAGCTACGGTAAAGGAATTATCAACCGGTTCTTGTCCCTGGTTCAAAAAGATTATGGGGTTTGATCCAAAACTTATTGAATTAAAAAAAAAAAAAAAAGAAGTCTAACAAGTCTGCACTGAGTGTGAACTTTGTTTCTCTGATAATTACAAGAATGTATACAAATTTGCAGGATAATAAGTGAATATGTTCATGTTGAATGATTAAAAATACAAGAAAGAGAGACAATTGTGTCGTCTAAGCAGAGCAGCAACCAGGTTTTTTAACAGCTGAGATATCATCTCTGCCTCCGACATTAATCGTTTGTCCTTTAGGCAAAGCAGTGGTTGGATCATCACCAGCTTCAAGAGCCTTCTTGCTAACGACTCTGTAAATCTGTGTCAAGACTTCGGTGAAAGCATTCTCAACGTTCAGAGCTTCAAGCGCAGATGTCTCCATGAAAAAAGTATTCTCTCTCTCCGCAAAAGCCTTAGCTTCATCCGTCGAGATTGCTCTAAGATGACGAAGATCAGCTTTGTTCCCAACCAGCATTATCACAATGTTTGCGTCCGTGTGGTCCCTTAGCTCTTTTAACCACCTCTCAACGTTCTCGAACGTTACGTGACGTGTCACGTCGTATACTAGTAACGCACCAACGGCTCCTCGGTAATAAGCGCTCGTGATAGCTCGGTACCTAGATAGGAATAAAAAATAAGGAACGTAAAGATGGGTTAAGAACAGGTTCTTGAATGTTTTTTGTGTACCTTTCTTGGCCTGCCGTGTCCCAGATTTGAGCCTTGACGATCTTGTCGTCACAGTTGATGCTACGTGTGGCGAACTCTACACCGATGGTTGCACGTGAGTCGTGGCTGAAGTCGTTTCTTGTGAAACGAGATAAGAGGTTGGATTTACCGACGCCGGAGTCTCCGGTTAGGACCACCTTGAAGAGGTAGTCGTAATCGTCTTCTGCTCTATATGCTCCCATCTTCTTCTTATGTCCTGACTATTAAAACCTCTTTTTTTTATTTTTATGAGTTTGTTGTGGAGAGACGGTTATATTCAAGAATGAAAATGTTATTTGGTTGTTCCAAGAACATGGGGATGATGCTACTCAAATGTGTTTTCTTGTTTGGTCCTAAAAATATTTGTGTTTGGTTTCTGTTGGTTTTTAACGTTTTCTAAATTGGAGAAGAGCACCAATTTTGAGTTTTGAATTTTGGGAAGACAATGAGAGGTACCACTCAGAATCTCGCAAATGTCGCTCGGCCAACCAAGACATTCAGTCTCTTGTTTGGTTTGGTTAGAATCTCAAAACCGGTTTGTTTCTCCTTTGGGAAATTTCACTTCAATTTTGGTCTGGTCAAGTTTTTCTTCCTACCTCTTGTCAAGAATCCCTGCGAGACACACGATGTAAAGGTGTTACAAAATTTACCAAGTAGAGACTCATGTCTTGACCAAAAAAAGACGCTTCTGATTGCATCTACACCGTGAGGAGAATTTGGTAGGATACTGATGAGACTTACCAGCGGATCCAGGCAATCCATTTCTCCTCGAAACTAGGCTTGGGCTTTCGGTGGCCCATTCGATTTCGGTCTGAGTAATTCAGATTTTTGGATTTTTGATGTTATGTTCATAAATACCATTCAGTTTTCACTAATTATCGGATCAGTTAGGTTCTTTCCGGATTCGGTTCAGATCAAATCTAATCAATGTTTAAAATCGTCTAAAAATATATATTTTTAAAAACCTCAAAAATTGATAATTTTTTTTAAAAATATATAAATTATTTACATATCTAATTAAAAATTAGTTAAACTATCTTTTTTTGAAACACTTTATTTTGTTTTATTTGAAACACTAAGTAAACTATCTAAATTAACTAAAACGTATTCAAAATCTTATATAATAAAGTTAGCTTTTTTTTCCATGGTGGACAAAAACTGACATGTGTCACTTCATTAAAGTTTAAGAAATTATTTGTTAGGTTTTAGAAAAAAAATTATACTATTTTAGAAAATTATATTATTGGTAAAATACATATTTGTTTTGGGTTTATATTATTGTAGATTTCGTTTAAACTTTCGGATTATAGAGATCCTTTAATATTATAGGTTTGTTTGTCATGTTCGTTTGAGAGCCCTAGATCAGTCGACGAGAGTTGTAGATATCGGAATAAATTATCAACTCTCCGTAACGTCTCGACGCAAGCTTAATTCATACTTTCTTTCCTCCTATTTTATAAGTGATTAACCCACTCTGAATTAGTGATTTATTCCATCCTCCTTACCGATTTGAAAGTCGGGTGCTGCTCCAACACCACCGAGGTTCACTTGCTGAGGTTTTGGGAGGCCAGAAATGTGAGTAAAGGCGGTGAGCTCATGAGTCTAGACATGCTTCTCATCGACAAGAATGTAAGCATCTCTTTTCGATTAAAGTTGTTGACGATTGGTCGCATTATAATTTGTCATTTTTAGCAGTCAACAGTTATTCAAGATTCTGTTAATGCAAACCATCAATTCATGTTCAGACAGTATCTCAGCGAATGATCAGTCTATAGGTTGAATGAGTTTGATGTAACGCGCAGCAACCCGAATTTCCGGATGTTGGATGCCCCTTTCTCCATTCGGTTCAATAATGGAACCTTTTAGTTAAGAAAAAAATATTTATTAGGCTCATACATACTGAACTCTTCAGATTCCTAACCTGGTCTAAAGTATAAATATGATATTACCATAATCTTAAGTTATACTTATAAGTATTAGGCATTGTGTGTTCATTACTAACTTTTAATTTGGAGAAATTAGCAGCTAACAAACACATTGAGATACAACTTGATACCTAATTGTTAACAAGAAATTAATGAAAACCTATAGCCAAAAACAATACATAATTAAAATGAAGACTTCAATAACTATTAGTGAAAAACATAAAATAATATATAATAGATAAAACAATAATGAACGAGCGATAATTTTTTTTCCTATGATAACAAGAGATCAATGATTGTTGTATAGCTAAATAAATGTTATAAAAGAGAAATCATATATTATGAATTCCCAAAAATCTTCAAGCATAAATTTAATATGGACATGAAAATTAAAAATAGATTATTTGTAAAATACAAAAAGAGACGCTATATAAAATAAGATAAAAATAATCGTAGAAATCTATATAATCTAAAATAAGAAAAATGCACCAAAAATCTATAGTTCTAAAATAAAAATGTTTATAGTCTCACTAAAGTATATCAATAATTTTATTATGAAATTAAGTTTTTGCAACAAGAGTATGACTGAATATCAAAACATTAAACAATTTTAATAGAAACTGATACAAAATAGTAATTAAATAAAATAATTCATATATAATGATAATAAAATATTTGAAAATAAAAAAGTATTAAACAAAATATCTAATAGAAAACAAATTCATGCAAATCAAGGGTCAACTACTAGAGAAAAGTTAACTATTTATAGAACAAAAAAAATCTAAATAACTAAAAATTTAAAAATAAATGTATAATAAAAACCTAAAAAAATTAAAATAAAAAATAATTACATTAATTAAAAAAATTACAAGCATGTGCTTTCTAACAAGAACAATAAAAACCACTACAAAAAAAAGTGTGAATTGTATCACTTAAATTGTATCACATAATTAAGTGATTTAATTTTAAATCATTTATTTAGAAATGAAACAAATAGACATAATTTAGCATCAATTATTATAAGTGATGTTATTATTAATTATTTTGGCATCATTTCAATAAAAATGATATAATTTATATTAGTTTGTATCACTTTGACTAAAATGATAGTATTATATAAATCTGTATCAGTTAAATAGTTGATGTATTTGTTTTTTCAGTTAGCATCACTTTTTAAAATAATACAAAAGCTTACATCAGTACAAATTGATGCTAAATATGTTATATAAAATATAAGTATGTCAATTAAACTCAGTTTAACGTAATTATACTTTTGTTCTTTAACATCAATAATAAATTATGTTATTTTATTTTTATTTACATCACAAACAATTGATATAGATCAATATTTACGATTAATATAATAAATATTGATAAAAAAACTAAACATTTTATTGGCTAACCTATAAAATCTAGGATTGCAATCTTTACTGTTGTTTAACATTAATCTAACGGATACGATCTTTTTTTTTCTCCACTTCTTTCGTAACTGTTTTCTTATATCTCTTTCGTTTACAAACACAAATTTCCTGTAACCTCTCTTTGTCAATTAGCTTCTCTCTTATGGTTCCAAACTCTAATGTAATGTCGAAGAGGCATGATATTAATAATTGATTCACTGTTCTGTAACTTGAGTTTGGGTGCAGGCGTGAAGCACTTTCCTTTTGGTTATCCCGTAACACGTTGGAACAAAGATGACCAAAGATGATTTGTTCATCGGTGCGATTCCAGTTTCCATGAAGATATATCTGGTTATGTTGTTACAACCTTTTATATGATTTTTTTTTCTAATCGTATGAATTGTACATGTGTGATTTTGAGGTTCTAGCTAATGTTAAAAGGACAAGACGCATGATCCATTCGGGACGGATCAAATCAAAGACCGTCCACAGTCAATCTTCCAATTGAAGCATGGTTCCTGGACTTCGTCCTCTTCACTGCCACCATCTCCGGATCCTTGGCTAAGAAGAATCGAAAGGTCTCTCTTGAAGTAAACAGCCGCGGTGCCACCGTTGTCGCACAAGAATAGAGTTAGACTTTTTTTTATTTGGTTTAATTTTTCTTAATTAGATTAAGGTTTGTAAACCAGTTTTAAGAATATTTTTTATTTAGTTGTTTATGTTTATAAATAATGTGAAATAATGTTAATTGTAAATATATTAATAAAATATTATTCTCATCACTTTTTATATATATTTAGACTATAATTACTTGAAAATAATAGAAATGTAACATCAGTTATGGACAAATGATACAAAGATTTTAAATCTGTAAATGATACAATAATTAAATTACTTCTAAAATCTGATATTAGTTTGCATTAGTTAATAATAAGTGATATAAATAAATGAAATCAATTTGTTTAAATGATACTAATACTGATATCATTTTATAAAATTGATGTAAATATTAGCATCAGTTTTTACAACCGATACATTTAGATATCACTTAAAATAAATGATGTAAAAATTTAATATTTTTACATCACTTCTTAACAAAATGATGTTAATTGTTTGCATCACCACTTTCAGAGTCACTTATTTAAATGATGCAACATTCTTTTACATCATTTATAAGTAATGCAAATATATAAAATAAATGATGTAAACTAACCTTTCCTTTGTAGTGAACAGATATTGAAAATTTATTATTTTCAGTCATCAATAAATTTATTAAATATGATTAGTTTAAAATATATTTTTTTCTGATATTTAATTTGCTCACCCGTCTGTAGGACGGATTTAATCCTAGTGACAAATAAAACAAACTACAAAAATATTTTGAATACTCTAAAATATCCAAAATCACCTTATATGTAAACACATCAACATATTTAACTAATTTCGAATATCTTCGGATCCTAATTCAAATTTTAGTTCGGTTCGGATTATAACCAAAGTCTTAAGTAGTAAGCTTATAAGCCTCGTTCGGATATTTTTATAAAATAAGTTGGATTCATTTTCGATTTTTCTAGCTCAGGTTAAAATCGATATTTTGGGTTGAGGTAAAAACGTCCAGGCCTATTCAAAACCCATTTTAAAAGCAGTCCTTCTAGGAATGTCCATTCTAAGCTGATTATAGACCTTGATCATATATGTTTTTATAGCTACAAACTTTAATTTACATATAAGACTAGTGCGGAGTGCATAAAAGGACTCCTAGGGGAGATATATGTCTTTATCAACTATATGTACATTTTTGCTGATACTAATTTTAAATAAACGTTTCAAGGAAAACTGATACTAATTCTAGATAAACGTTTCAAGGGAAAAACCTCTTAATCTAATGTTTTGATTAAAGGCATAACTGTTTTCTCCCCTATCATTCGCAAACACAATATTTTGCAGTTGATAGTGGTTGTTGGCGTTTTGCAACAATCACTCAAACTCTGGACTGCTTCAAACCGCTCTAAACCTCTTAAATTCAAAAACTGGTTTCAACTAACGCTTGCGATTGCAGACGGTTGCAGGAAGGTGTTTTTTTTTTCTTTTAAAAAAAAGAATATAAATACAAAACTAAAAATATTTAATAAAGTTTTTAAATTGGAATTATAAAAATACTAAAATATATCTATATATTTTAATTAATATTATTAATTTTTATTAAAAAAGAAATTTTCAATAATTTTTTTAAAACTATAACTTTACATGTATAACTTTTATATTTATTATAATATTATGATTTTTTGGTATTTTTATAATTATACAAAACATAAATATTGTTAATTATATTTTAACTGCTACTGCATTTAATAGTTAACCAGTTATCAATATCCCACAAACACTCTAATTTCTAATCGCTGTACTAGTCGTACAAATCTCTTAAACCATAAAAAACCACAACCATCCGCATCCGCAAACTCCCGCAACCGCAACCACAACCACTCCATTTGAACAAGTCAAACCCTAAGTGTTCATTAATGTTTCTATATCAAAGTATGAGTTTCAAATTCAAGCAAAGGTGAAGTTATGAGATTAACCCTTCATATCAATTTGATCCGCAAGTGCAAAGAGTTCATTTTTTTCACTAGAAACAAACACATTAGGGATACAATACAACTCTTATTCCTCACCAACTTAATTCTCTCACAAAGACTTTGTGAACAACTTGTATCATCATTCACCTACTGCTAAAAGAATACCGTCTACCTGATGATGTTCTGCTCTTAATATCAAAGCCAGGGCATGACCAGTTGAAAGCAGGAAGCGTGTAGGGTCCTTCAAGTAATCCCATGGCGACCCACCTATACGCAGACTCAGTCAAATGAAAACCGTCCCAATGAACATACTTAGAAGGATCAATACAACAATCCACTCCTTTAGTTCCACACTGAATACCATTGTTGAAGTTGTATGGACCTCCTGATCCACAACATGCGGACAAAGATCGATTCATGAATCCTGCACACACAATGATCTGTTCATTAAAAAAAAAAAAAAACTTCGCTGGTTTATTAGTTAACCGAAAGAAAAATGGGTATGTAGAAATAACCGAATCTGGCCGGTTCTTGGAAAATATGTAACATGGCGTTGTAGTAATCAGCGTATAGGATTGTGACATGGGGGTAGAGTTTCTGGAGTCTGTTGAGCTCTCTTTGAAGCTCCTTGTTGTGATCTTCTACAAACTCGTTTAGCCAGTTCAAGCATCCTGTTATAGGATTGTATTCTTCTTTGTTTGATTTTTGATACTGCGTTAAAAACGCTGTCCAACATCCGATAGGGAGGTCCGTAGGCACCATGATCGTTCTACCTCCCATGTGAACCAATTCCTACATCGTTTCGTTTATATGCGTTCAAGAGCGAGTCTCATAACTCAAACCATGCAGATCATCAAGAACTGAACAAAGGAGTTTCCAAGAGAGAATGGTTACCGTAATCGCAGAAGAAATAGTACTGATTACTAGTGGAACCAGCTCTTTGATCTCCTCGATGCTTTTCCCAACCAAGAATCCAAAGTTATAGTCATTCCCTCCGATCTCTCCAACGATAATCAAAGCGTTTCCAATCATCTCTCTACAATCTATAAGAAGCCATTACAAGTGAGTTTGTGTCATCAAACTTTTCTTCTTGTTATAATCAACAAACACAGAAAAAAAAGAGTTGATCTTCATCACTTAACCTGAAGGTGTGCCACATAGATTTGGTAAACTCTCCTTGAAGATCTTAAGCTGAACTCCTAAACTAACATTGGTGTAAGCATAATGAATTCCTCTGCTCTCAAGAAAGCTCTGTTCCAATGCGGTTGCACCCGCTACAGCGAAGTTAACTCCTTTCTCGAAGCTCCCACTTGGAGATCCAAAGTAAGGAGGCACATAAGGAAGCCCCAAAAATTCAGCTGTAAACAGATCCCAAGAGACTGTAAAAATATGAGAATCACTTTATGTTTCTTTTTGTTTAACTTGCAGTTCAAGGCAAGAAGAATACATAGAAAGAGCGCAAGACTAGACCATTTTCTAACAAAATCTTATATAAGAACATAATTTTAACATTTTTTGACCCAAGGAAAAAACATAATGTTAACATTCATTTTCTTCCAAACACATAAGCAAAGTAACGTGACTTCAGCATTAGGACAGAACCGAGAAGAAACTCCAAATTGTTGAGGAATTACTATGAATTATTTACGAACCTCAACCCTACTCAGAAAAATTGTTATAAACCATTTTCTTTTCATCAACGTTTCCTGTACTTTATTACATCTCATGTCTCTTCTCATGCGTCTTCTTTTTTTTTTCTTTTTTTTTTCATTCTATCTAATAATTGTATCAGATGCAAGAAGAAAAGTATCTATAAAAAAGTGTATTTTTGTCTATTTCATCAATAATATATAAATACATCATAACCATCAGTTTGCTATGATTATTTTGTGAATTATATGGTTATAGGCAGCATCAAATTTTCCTTCATTTATTTGCTCCTAAGCAAAAATAATGAAAGTGACGCCAGCATTAGGACAGAACAGAGAAGAAGCTCCAAGTTGTTGGAGAACTACTATGTTCTGTTTCAAGTGCATTCAAGTAAACTATTAGAGAGATCTAAGGGAGAATATACCTATGAAGTCGATGATGAGGCGGCCATTGGAGAAACGACCGGTGGGGATGTGGAAGAAGGTTTCTCCGTACGGAGGAAACGCAGACTGAGGAAGGTTGTTAGGGTAGGAGAGGTGGAGCAAGTTTCCGGTGTCGGTAATGGAATCGCCGAAGCTGATGATTGATTTGATATTCCGACACTGTTGTTCTGAGGCTACTACGGCTGTTGTTAGCAAAGTGATTAGAAATAAGGGTTTAAGTTTCTTGGAGAGGTGAGAGACTAAAGACGCCATGGAAGAAGAGTAGAAAAGGAAAGCACTGTCTTCAACGGTGGCCATTTGTTTTGGGATTTGAAGTTTGAAGACAAAATCCCTGTCTTCGTGTCTCTGTCTCATTCAATTCAGACAGTAAGAACACCCTCAACCTTTTTTCTTGGTCTGATTTAAAAAAAAAATTTAAAAACTAATCAGCCACATATCAGCGAGATCCACAAACATTACAAGAACTCCAGCAAATTCATCTTTTCTCTTACCGAAGAAGAAGAAAAAGTAAGAATGAGTTTTAACAAAATAACTAGATCTCGACCCGCACAACCGTGCGGATATTTTAATACGAAAATATTTGAACTTATATAATATTCACTCCGTTTTAAATAGATGATGTTTTAAAAGATTTAAATTATTTCAAAATATAATATGTTTTGAGATTTTAAGGTATATTTTGAAGTTTTAAAGTTATCTTTAACTTTATTGGAAACTATTCAACCGATAAAATTTTACTCTTTTTAATATTTGGTTGAATGATTATAAAATTATATATTTAAAAATACTTTTGTAAAAGAATGTAAATTTCTTAATTTGTGCAATGATCCAAAACATCATATATTAAGAAACGGAGGGAGTAAAATTTATCAATAAATAAATATAATTTGATTGTATATACTATCCAATGATCATAAATAATATTTATGTGGCTTATAATAATATTAATTTAAAATTTATAAATTTTTATTTTTGTAACAATTTTTTAAAAACATTTTTATGTAACATTACTAATTTATATATTTTGTTTTATTTCTAAATTTTAAATATATATAAAAAGTAAATTAAATTAGACTTACATAATACATAAACAAAATTTTGGGATATTGTTAAAAAATGAATTAAAATTTTAATTATATTATATGATAATTAAATTTTTAATCAATTAATTTTTGAAACTATATCTTGAAAAGATTCTATAAGATTTTTAAAAGATTTTGTTAGAATTTTCTTAATATTATTTATTTGTATTTCAAATAAAAATTAAAGATATGAAAAGATAGTATAATGATGTTATGTAAAATTTTATAAAATTTAGAAGGATGGTCCAAACTAAAAAATCATACATGAAGTGAGTCATGACTTCTCTTTTAATATAATAGATGAATCCACACCATCTCGAATAGAGACTGATTTTTCCTCTATTATTTACACTAAAATAGATTTTGTAGATTTTAAGTAGATTTTGCTCCAATAGAGTGAAAAAATAATATTACTCTATATTTCACTCTATAACAGAGTTAGTCTATTATTCCAAGCACATGTCTGGAAGATCAAAGCTCCCCCGAAGATGTGCCATCTTATGTGGCAGCTCATATCAGGTCAAGTGGCTGTTACGAGTGCGTTGAACCAGAGACATATAAGATGCGATAACTTTTGTCCACGATGCGGGGAACCGGAGGAAACTCTTGCACATGCAATCTTTCAATGCCCACCTGCATTACAAGTGTGGGCCTTATCATCCATTCCCACCAGCTCATCTCTCTTTCCATTACAGAGCACATATGCGAATATGAATTATCTATTTTGGAGGAAGAATGCCATAATGGAGCCAGAATCGGATAGGGACCCGTTTCCTTGGCTTATATGGTATATTTGGAAGGCTCGGATCGACAAACTGTTCCGAGGAATTGATAGGGATCCTCTGGAGTTAGCCCGGTATGCGGAAAGTGAGTGTCTTGCTTGGTTCCAAGCAAATGAACAGGAGACGGTGCCATCGCACGGAGACATAGATGTTGATACCCAGGTCATAAACCTGGGAGATATCCATTTGGTAGATGGTTCTTGGACCTCTACAGATCAATACTCAGGATATGGCTGGAATTGGATAGATAGAATGGGGAACAGTCAGATGTTGGGCATGCGTAATGTTAGTAGGGTGGAGTCGGCTTTGCACTCTGAGCTGGAGGCACTATGGTGGGCAATGGAGAATATGCTTCAACATTCGCCATGTCAGAGCTTTGAGACGGATTGCAAGGAGTTGATTGCGATGCTCACTAATCCCCATGAATGGCCAAGCTTTTCGACGGAATTGGAAAAACTCTTGACATTGTGGATCTGCTTCCCAGATTTCAAGATAGTTTATGTTCCTAGGTCTCAAAATGCTATGTCCGATTTTCTAGCTAAGACTGCTCGATCTTTCTATCGAGATCTGATGTTTGTTGGTTGTTCTATTCCGGTCTGGATTCCCAGACCACCTCAAGCTTGAGTAATAGATCAGCCTTTCGTTGTAAAAAAAAAAAAAAACAGAGTTAGTCTATTATAGAGTGAAAAATAGAGTAATGTCACTTTTTCCTCTATATTTGGATGAAAAATGACATTACTCTATATTTCACTCTATAATAGAAAAAAAAAAATAGATTTTCATTGGAGATGCCCTAATGTCATTTTTTCATTCTATATTTGGAATGAAAAAATGACATTACTCTATATTTCACTCTATAATAGAGTTACTCTATTATAGAGTAGACCATTAGAGCAAAATCTACCAACAATAGAGTTACTCTATTTTGGTGTAAATAGTAGAGGAAAAAATAAGTTTCCATTGGAGATGCCCTAACCCATTTAAAGAGTGAAGATAAAAATGCTTTAACTCAATATTTATAAAGATCTTTTTAGTTTCCCTAAAAAGAAAAACACCAATCATCCCGAAACAATTTATCGGATAAAAAAGTATTTTTGGATAATAATACAATACATAACATTTTTCCAACGGTGGAAATGAAATTATATAGAAGCTTAAAAATATTTTTTTTATAAAAAATATTGTAAAATATGTTTTAGAAGCATATATCCAAATATATATCTATCATTAAATGATTTTATAAATTTTCTGACCAAAAATATAAAACAAAAATCACTTATTTTTTAATAGTTTATTTCATTTAGTTTACTTTATATATTAGTTATAATAATACTAACAGATTAAGATATTTAAAAATATTATCAAAAATGAAATATTTTTAATAGTTTACTAATATATTTGAATATGCATGATCTCTTATAATTATATATTATGCATAAAGATAATTTATAGTATTAGTTTTGATATTTTCTTATTTTTGTATTCTCTCTATTTTTCTACTATTAATTTTAGATTTGATATAAAATAAAAATAAAAGTTTATATTTTTTGCTTATTCATAATAGTGCGTTTTTAAAATGGAAGCGTGATTCCTAAACAGAACTGTAATATTTCAACGTGTTTTAAAGAGATATTTTGGAAACATATTAGAAACGAGCACTACAAGAAAACATATTTTACGAGACCTGAATTTGTTGTTAATTCACCGTAATAGGACAACTACAATGAATTAACAACGAAAGATGTTTCATTATTAAACGCCCATAGTAATGGACTATTCGTCATATTACGAGGAATAAATATCGTTGTAAAAGACAAGGTAAGACTTCGTCGTAAAATCCATGTTACACTTTGTCATAAACTCCTCGTTCCATTTCCTCGTAATATAGTCGTAAACATTTCATGTTAACTCCTTGTAACTTTACGAGGATTGTACTAGTCTTCCATGTAAAATCGTAGTAAAGTTTACGTGGAAATTACTAGGAATTTAATGTTAACTCGTTATAAAATTTACGAGAAATTTACTTGGTATTCATATAATTTATTTTTTTTTATAATTTTTATATTCTTATTTATATTATTTTTTATTTATAAAATTCGTAATTTAAATTATAAAACCAAAATATTTAAAAATTTTAATTGTTTTAAAAAGCCATAATATAAAAGTCATAAAATAATATATAAATTTATAATACAAAACGAAACAAAATAAAAAAACTATGGCATGTTGTTGCGAGGTACTCCTTGGGGCAGGTTGGTTCCGGGCCGCGTCGACCGGTTGAGTCCGGAGGATGTTGCTGCATTCCAAGAGCCGCTCATCTTTCATTCAACGCTCTCTGCATAGCCGGGTCCCTGTTGCCATAATGTCCACAGATCTTCAAGTGAGTCCAAACGCTCCTGCTAGGAGTCCATGCAAGCTTGCATCTAAGAAGTTTCCTCATCCCGTCTCGAAGTGTATGAAGAAGTTTCCCTTGGGACTTTGTTCACGGAGCCTATTCCCACCGTTCGTCCTTCTTTCTAGGATCCACCTTTTTCCAAAAAATGTTATATAATACATTAGTATTTAATTATATTAATTATATATAAAAAGAATTAATATAAACAAATTAAAATTTATTCAAAAATTTTACCTCTTCGAAAAGTCTGGTCAACTTCTTCTGTAATCAATGTCACGGGTAATCCATCGGGAGCCTGCTGGTTTAGCTGTGTCTCCCGCTCCTCAACCCGAGAAACAACATCATTATAGAGTTTCTCGGACCGTGGATCCACAAGGATCTACACAAACTACATCTTGTGTCATGTGAGTCAGCCTGAATAGTTCAGTCAGAGATGGCTTGACTCCGGTCTTCTTGGCCTACATACAAAAATAGTTAATATATTATTTAAAAAAATAGTTAATAAACAAAATTTAAAATAAGTTAAATATTAAAAATAAAACTTACAACATCTTGCGGATCCGGGGTAAGGTGTTTGGCCTGTTTCTATGAAGCATGGGGTTATTGCCGTATTTGTCCTTCGTTCTTCAGGAAGAAGAGCATGAATTGGACTTTTTGACCGAGGAAGATAGGCTCCAATAGCGAATGAGACCATCCCACACAAACTTTGAGATCTCCTTGGGCTTCGTTTCATAACTGTAGAGTTTCCACTTGTCCTTCCAATCTGAGACGATGTTGCAAAAGCGAGTCTTGGCTTTTGCTACAAAAACCTCCTTCGCCTTCTCATTGATCGATGAGGACCAATGTCATTTTTGCTGAAAAAAAAATATTAAAAATATTAAGAAAATAATATAAAATTAAATATTAAATATTTTAAAAATATTTTCCGCAAGCATTTTAAACCACGTTGTCTTCATGTGGTCTGGAGTCATCCCCTAGTTCGGATGAGGCTCGAGAAAATACCCCTTCATCGTGTCTGAAACACTCCAGCTGACACGGTTATTCGTTCAAAACCTGAAAATAATATCAATTTGTTAGACCAAAAAATAAAATAAAATTAAAAAAACTCACTAATAAGTACCCCGCGGATGATCATGATCCAGAATATCTAAACCCTCTCGCCTCGGTTGGGCA